AGCAATCTAGACGCTGGGGAAGTTTTTTCGAAAAAAGGCCACTTTTTTTGAAAAAAACCCTGTAGTCTAGACACACCTTTAGAAACCTGACCTATATGAGGGCTCTGTTGTATTTGGAACTGTACAAATACAGAATAAAAGACCATGCCTGCTCTGAAGAGCTTATGATTTTAATATAAAATATAGGGGAAAGGAAGTAAATTTCTATTTTACAAATTGGAACTGAGGGCAGTGCAGTCCTAGAATGCATCAAATGAGGTATTTCCCATAGAGACAGGTAAGTATTTGTACCATTATACAAGGCACTGGTGAGATTTCATCGGGAATACTGTGTGCAATTCTGGTTTACCATGTTTTAGGAATGTTTTAGGCTCATCATTAAGAGTACATCTAGACCACAAGCCTCTTTCAAAAGAGATCATCTAGACAACAAAACACTTTCTAAAAAGCTATCTGCTTTTTCTGTAGAGAGCACCCAGGCAATCTGGACGCTCTCTTTCGAAAAAGCCCTGTTTGCGTTCAAGAATGCCTTTTTTTGAAAGAGCTTCTGAGGTTTACCGCTGTCGAAAAAACTGCCATGTTCTTTTGATTTAATTTCGAAAGAACGTGATGGCAGTCTAGACGTAGGTGAAGTTTTTTCGAAAAAAAGGTCACTTTTTTTCTGAAAAAACTCCGTAGTCTAGACATAGCCTTAATGTTCACAGTTACACAAAGGCTTTTGGTATGCACAGGGAACTGGCTTAAAAGATGAATCCCTGCACTCACCGGCTTTCAGGGAGCTGTCTGCTGCCCTGCTTGTAACCACTGAAATTGGTTACATGGTTACTTAAACACTTTTTAACATCCCTACCATGTTTAGTTGAATTCAAACCAGAACAGGTGGAGAGAAGGGCTTCTAGGATGATCAGAGGAATGGAAAACCTGATTAATGCTCAAAGAGACTCAAAGATCTTGGCTAGTTTAGCCTAACCAAAAGAAATTGAGGGGAGATATGATTGCTTTCTATAAACTCATCAGAGGGATAAATACCAGGGCTACGTCTACATTGGCCCCTTTTCCGGAAGGGGCATGTTAATTTCACAAGTCGTAATAGGGAAATCCGCGGGGGATTTAAATATCCCCCGCGGCATTTAAATAAAAATGTCCGCCACTTTTTTCTGGCTTTTAGAAAAGCAGGAGCTCTTGCGCCAGAGGGCAGTGTGGATGCTCAGCAGGGATTTCTTGTGCAAGAAAGCCCTATGGCTAAAATGGCCATCAGAGCTTTCTTGTGCAAGAGAGCGTCCACACTGCCATGGGTGCTCTTGCGCAAAAGCACAGCTCGCACATGGCAGTGTGGACGTGTTCTTGTGCAAGAAGCCGCCAATGTAGACATAGCCCAAGTGTGTGGATGGGGGCTGCTGAGGAGCGGAATGAGGATGGGAGTGTGGGATCTGGGTAGGAGGTAGGGTTCAGGAGCAGGGTGGAGTGCAGGGCCTGGGCAGAAGCGAGGGAATGGGAGGGGAACGGCAGTGTGCAGAGCTGGCCTACGGATCTGGCCTACAGACTGTAGGTTCCCCATTACTGATCTAACTGATCACCATATGTGTGGTCAGGAAGCAATTTTCTGCCAGGTCAAATTGGAAAAGACTCAGGGGTAGGGGTCGGGAGTTTGCTTTCCTCTGCATCATGGGGCACAGGCACTTGCAGATTTAAACGAGTGTGGGTGGTGGATTCTGTGTAACTTGAAGTCTGTAAATCCTGACTGGAAGATTTCAGTAACTTAGCCGGAGGTTAGGGGTCTGTTTCAGGAGTCTGTGGATGAGGTTCTATGGCCTGCAATGTGCAAGAGGCCAGACTAGATGATAATCCCTTATGGCCTTAAAGCAGGGCTACTCAACTTTGGAAGCCCCGAGGGCCACAATGATACTCACAGCACATGCCGAAGGCTGCAACTTAAGTGTGGTTGCATATACATGAAAATATATATGCAAATAGTTTCTTTCATGCTGATGGACATGAATACAAAGATTAAGGCAAGATTATGCAGCACGCAAGGCCCATTTAAGTCAGTTCTGGTGATATTAATAAAATGCAATATTTACCCAATTTCCACCCATATGACAGCACTGTTAATGAGCAATGACAGTTCAGGAATTTAACTACTAAAATGCATATCAACAGAAGACCATTATATTGATTCACTGTTGTGGGGTGTGTTCCCAGTGAAGGCCATGTTTAAAGGATCCCAGCCGCAGGCTGAGTGTTGAGCCCAGCTAAACCCAAACCACACTGTGGGCCACTAACAAATGGGCTGCGGGCCATATGCAGCCCACGGGCTGTGTGTTGAGTAGCCCTGCCTTAAAGGATACGTCTACTCAGCAACATAAGCTCAGACTTGAGTCTAACCCACCTTCTGTTGTGTTCACCTGGGTCTCAGACTGAGGGTCCCAGGATCCTGCAGGGCTGGAAAGACTGAGCCCATGTTAATCTTAGACCTTGAGTTTGAGCCCTATCACTTTCCTGCATGCACATAACCCAGGCTTGACTCAGGTTCTGGAAGTCCTCTGGACAGGAGTGACGTATGGAGGGAACCAGAGGGGGTACATGCCAGGGGACTAGTGGGGAACCCTGGCACTGGTGACAGGGGCCAGAGCCCCTTACCCTCATTGGCGGCGGAGGTGGGGAAAGTAGACTAACACAGCCCTGGCTCACTCCGTTCCTGTGCCTCCCAGTGGCTGGTGGTGGTGTTTGGGGAAGAGGATGGGATCGCTCCCCAGCACTCACTGATGGGAAGCTGAGGGCACAAGCTAGGGCCACATTGCTCTACTTCCCCCTGCTGTAGCCGGTGAGTGCAGAGGGGTGCGACCCTTGCTGCTGACGCTAGACCTCCAGCCCCATTAGTCCCTAGGACTGCATCGCTCAGAGGAGGGCACTTGGGGAAAGAGGCGGGGAGGTTTTCCCAGCTCTCTCCAGTTAGGAACGGCACAGGGAGGAGTCATGAGGGGCTGTCATGTGGCCAGTGCCCCCCTGCACCTCTGCCCAGCAGTCAGCCCTGCCTCCTGGTGTGTCAGAGGTCCTTGAGGGAACAGCCTTAATCCTGTCTATTCTGACAATCTGTGGTGCAGTTTGTGGCACTCTATTACAAACAAGCCACACCTCCCTTTGCATAGGCATAGAGAGCTAGGGTAATCCTCTCTGCCCAGGGCAACCTGCATACTGAACCCCTCCTCTCCAGCCCCACCCCAGAGCAATGATTTAAATCAGGCATGTCCAAAGTCCGGCCCGCGGGCCAATTGCGGCCCGTGTTCCGGTTTAATACGGCCCCCCAGGTAATTTGGCAATATCTATCTTTTAAGGCCCCCAACGAATCCAAATGTATTGAGATGAATACATTGTAAAATCTCAGTTAATGTCAGTTGGTCTAAATCAGTTATAAATATATTTGGACACAACATGTATACTTGGTGTTATGTTCCTGTTCATATTTTTTGAACTTAAAAGTTGACAGACAGCCTTTATTACCAATAATATGTAATGTACTTTACAATGTTCCTGACATATATTTCAGCTTCCTGGATATTTTTTTTATCTGGCCTTCAGATATGAAAGGCAGAGTGATTTAACACCTGTTTAGATTTGTCATCCATGTGACGAAATGAAAAGTATGCCGTTTGCAATAAACTTTGCATAAAATAGTTAATTTGCATTTAATTTTAATGGTTCAAAGAATGTCAGGCAAAATGGTCGGCCCTCACGCATGTTCACTTCATCAAATCTGGCCCTCTTTGAAAAAAGTTTGGGCACCCCTGATTTAAATGAAGAAAAATAAAAATTGAGTTAAAGACCTGAGCAATGCCAGTTAAATCTTCTAGTGTGCTAATAAAGTAATAGTGTTTTATAAATTAGACCTCGTTACAGAACTCTACTGCTATATCTGATGAGGGGAGAGAGAGGCTGCCACTTAGTGTGTGAATTACATAATATGGTGATAACAGTTCAGCAAAGTCTTACTGTCGGTAATTTTGTTTCATTTGCTTAATTTTCCTGTTATATCCGTAAAGTGTGTTGTTATTCCTAAATGCCTTCTGCTGTCCCTACCTTCTCAATTCTGCCAACATTCCCATCCTTACTCTCCTGCTTGTCAACTAACTGCATAGTCTCCTGTTCCATGCAGAGATCCCCTGTGTAATGTGAGCTTCTTGAGCTTATTCCTCCACTTTGCCTACTGTGCTGCTGGTCATGAATTTTGTTGACTTGATTTTTTTTAAAAAAATCACTATTTGTTGTTCCCCTTTCTCTAGTCTCAGTCTATATAACTGTCTGTGCTCAGGGGTAGGGACTCTCCCTTCTTGACTATCTTGAGAGTGCCTGGCAGTCTGTGGGCAATTATAAGCAAAGGATAAATAATGGTAACAACACAGGTGTGCTTTAAAATGAGTTTCCCACTGCATGCTGCTTGCTTAAATCAAAGAATTTGTAATGAAGTATTGTGACCCCTAGGAGGAAATGGTCACACTATGATAAAGAAATGAAAATGTTATCACATTAAAGATGGTGCCATTTGATTGCTGGATATACATAGTGATGCAAATTCTGTTATTCTAAAATGAAGCCATTTTCTTTTAAAAATCAAAAATGTATTTGTTGCCCTCCTTTATAGTTCTTATACTGGAGTACAGATTGACACACTGTTACTCTATGGGGGGTGGGAATTATCTGAAAAATGTTGGTAAATACACTATGACGTCAAGGATTTTTTTGGTAATTTGGTTTTGGAATGCTGCAGAAAGGAGTTGAAGAGGGTTCGTTTTTATGGAAGAGTATTATTTTAATGTTTCATTTTGAAAAGGCAAAATTCTTAGACTTTGAGAAATGACTATGCTAAGTACATTTTAAGTCCTAAGTGCTTAAAATAACTAATACAATTGTGTATTCTTTGATTGGTAGTTGAATCCATCAAGAAAGGTATTAATTAAAATGCTTTAAGACTCAGGCCTGTTTGTTCATTTTAAACAGGTGAATGGCATCCACCCAGAATGCAGATTTCAACTGGAGATTCACAAGGAGGAAATAAGATGTATGGAAATTCTAAACAGTGTCAAAACAGTGGCTTATAAAGGTAAGAAAAAGATGTGCTGCGATGCACAGATGGCTTGGAAAGAAAAAAAATCTTTATCAATGCTGTTGAACTTTGTTGACAATTACAATAATATTTTCTGAATTTGTTGTGCTGTGACTATGCTTTATGAATTGGATAATTCTTACTGATTATGTATTGAAAGTAAAAACTAAGGATGAAAGACCGAATTAGTGCTTTGCTATATCTCCATTGAAATCTATAGAAGTATGCCAAGGATGAATTCAGACCCCACCGTTTGTTAAAAGAAACACAAGCCCCAATTTTCTGGGTACACGTGCAGTGACCTGTAATTAGATTTCATGCGAAGATCAGTTCAATTTTTTTTTCTGTTTTAAGTTTTTAGGAGATTTTCTCTTCAGTTTGAATGTCACTGGAAGGTAAAGTGATGAGAAAACAAATCAAAATGTATGGCATTTTCCTTGTAGGTAGGGGTCTCTGAAAAGGCCACCAGTTCACAGAACAAATAAAGAAGCTTTAATATATTCCATTGTGAACATAAGAAATACACCCTGGAATTTTCAGCATGAAAACAATAAATAATCTAGCAATGCAAAGGAAAAACAGGTTATAAAAGAGTGAGTCATGAGGAAGAACTTTGTTTAAGAAAAACAATTTGTCATTTGTAGGTAAGATGTTGTTCAGCTGGAAGAATGTTTATATTTTTATTTAAATTGCTAGCATTTTATGATAGTATATTTGTAAGATTTATGGCCAGAAGCTCTAGAGAGGAGAGAGCTCCCTCCACTTCTTCCATTGATGAAAAGGGAAGAGTATGACCATAAAAGCTTCATTTTGCATGGTTAACCTACCTAGCTACCCTTTATGATGCTTGAGATGAACTCTGTAGTTTAGAAAGTAATGGACTCTCAGGGAGGGAAAGCGACACTGTCTTTTGGCATGTTCGTGTCTTATGCTGGCTAGGAATTTTGCAGTTTCCACAAAGCAAAATTTTTCATGGGTAACGTTTTTATTTTCAGTTGAAAAAATTGGAGTTAAATGTCCTGAACTGAAAAAGTGCGGTTTTTATCTGGTACAGTGCATTTCATTTTGCATCAGTTCGACAAGACACGAAACTGCATTTCCCTGTCAGTGCCTGGCCTTCTGGAATTGTAGTTCTGTTCCGGGCTTCCTCCAGGACATCATCTGCGATGG